GGTGTCATCTTGATTCTGAAAATAACTCAGCTAAGGGCGTTCTTGGGCAAACAGGATTCACAGTGTCTATAAAGAATGGGGGAGTCAACAAAGTAGGGGGGGGCAGTGAGTTTGGGCCTGGACGGGGGCCCTGGATACAGAGAGTGGCCTCCAGCTGAAATCATACACCTTTGAGTACATCTATGGGTAAGACCATTCTGAACCTAAAGAGTGTGTGTGTGTGTGTCTGTGTGTCTGTGTATGTGTGTGTGTGGTTGATGTGTGTATGTGTTTGTGTGGTGAGTGTGTGTATGTGTGTGGTAAGTGTGTGTATGTGTGTGGTGAGTGTATGTGTGTGTGTGGTATGTATATGTGTGTGTATGGTTGGTGTGTGTATATGTGTGTGTGTGGTTGGTGTGTGTATAGTTGGTGTGTGTATGTTTGTGTGGTGAGTGTGTGGGGTGTGTATGTGTGTGTGTGTGGTGTGTATATGTGTGTGTGTGGTTGGTGTGTGTATATGTGTGTGTGTGTGGTGTGTGTATATGTGTGTGTGTCGTTGGTGTGTGTGTTTGTGTGGTGAGTGAGTGTGTGTGTTCACAAGTAGAAAACATCTGCCACCTGTGGTCTGCCCTGTGTCTTGTCACTCTTGAGGCGAAGCCCTGATCCCGGTGCTGTGACTTCAGGAAACAGGGACTCTGGGGTCCTAGGATCGGGACCCAGGGACTCGTGTCCTCCTCAGGACAGCCAGCCAGGTGCTGGAGTTCTTCTTGCCATGTAAGAAGGCTCAACCTGCAGTATGATCGGGCCCCCAAACCCCACCTTCTGCCCCCATCTCACACCCATTTGTGGTGGCTTTTGGCAGCACTTTGGGAACGAGGCTCGGTTCAGGAAATGCGGAGAGCCGGCAGTTAGGGGAGAGAGAAGTGGGGAGAGGAAGTTTTACTTTCTTTTAAAGCAGTTTTCTGTATTTGTATTTTCTATTAAGAGGACAAACTGCTTTTATACTCTACAATCATTTAAATTATTTCATACAGTGACTAAAACACACTTTCAATTGTGTCAATTATAAAAATACTTTAAGGATTTGAGGGGGTGGGGAGTGGTGGGTGTGTGGGGGTGTGGGTGTAGGGGTAGGTGTGGGTGGTGATACTTTGTGCTCTAACAAATAAAGCTTACCTGGAGATCAGAGGGCGGAGCCAGCCACTAGTCAACCATAGAGGCCAGGCACTGGTGGTGCACGCCTTTGATCCCAGGACTAGGGAGGTGGAGACAGGAAGTGATATGGCTGGGCAGAGAGAGGACTATAAAGGGGGTGGAGACAGGAGCTCAGCCCTTTCCAGGTGAGGAGTTGATGAGGTGAGAGGTGGCTGTGACCTGCTCCTTTGTCTCTCTGATCTTTCAACGTTTACCCCAATATCTGGCTGCAGGTTTTTATATTAAGACTAATTAGGATTTGTGCTACAGGTGTAGGTGGGTGTGGGGGTAGGGGGTGGGTGTGGAGGGTGGGTGAGGGGTAGATGTGGGGTGGGGTGGAGGTGTTGAAACAGAGTCTCACTCTGTAGCCTTGCTGGTCTGGAACTCTCTGTGTAGACCAGGCTAGCCCTGAGCATGCAGTGATCCTCCTGCCTTTGCCTCTTGAGTGCTGATATTAAAGAAATGTGCCACCATGGCCCAGGCTATTTATTTATTCAGGCTGTCTTGGAATTTAGGAGAATCCTCCTGCATCAGCTTCTTGAGTGCTGGAATTGCAGATCTAATTAAGGGTTTCCACAGGAGACGCAAACTCCCGTCTTCAAGCCCATTGACAACACATGACGGTATAGCCCATACTCCACTTGGTAGGCAAGGAGGGGGTAGGTCGGAGAGCCGAGTGGCCAGTGTTGTCTCTGGCCAGTTGGTCGTCTTCAGAGTGGAATCACCTGATGGCGAGGGAGGAGAGGTAAGGCACTTGCCTGAAGTCAGAATGCTGCGCATGGAAAGGGTGTGGTAGCCTGGTCTACAGAATGAGTTCTGGGATAGCCAGGGCTACAAAGGAGAAAATCTGTCTGGAAAAAAACAAAAAGTATGTTTTGCCAGGTGGTGGTGGTGGTGGCGGTGGCGGCGGCGGCGGCGGCAGCGGTGGTGGCGCACGTCTTTAATCCCAGCACTCAGGAGGCAGAGCCAGGTGGATCTCTGTGAGTTCGAGGCCAGCCTGGTCTAAAGAGCCAGCTCCAGGACAGGCACCAAAACTGCACAGAGAAACCCTGTCCGGGGCGTGGGGTGGGGTGGGGAGTATGTTTCTACGTGGCAGCTCCAGTCAGGCAGGAACAGCTTATGCCATGCCGGGAGCCACTGCGTGTCCATGCCATCCTGTTGCCCTTCTTCCAGGACTCACCCACCCCACCCTGGTGCCTTATTAGGGGCATTAGGGGCGTACCCTCCTAGTCTACTACTCCCACACGCGGACCCCAAAGACCCGGGGTGCCGACACGGTGAGGACAGACGCCGATGGTCCGGTCTCGTGTGACTCCACAGCTCCTCCCATGACCCACAAGTTCATGGGCGATGCCTCAGATCTCAACATTGGCTGCCTAGTACTCAGCTCAGTGCTCGAGGCTACCCAAGCAGACCTGGGTCCCAGGCCCGCCCCAAGATCTCCGCGCCCTTTGTGGGGTTAGCTGGACCACTCTCCTTTCTGCCCACCTTTGGAGATAATGATGTCCTGGGGGTGGGGCTCAGCATCCCAGACAGCTGGGATCAGAGGTTCTCCCTGGAAGCACACCTGGGAGCACGGGCAGCCTAACCTTAGTGCTCCACACTCAGGACTCCCTCCTGGTCCAGGCGGTGTTTCCTTCTGAGGCCTCCAGTCTCACCAAGGTTAACTCCGTTGCCATGCTGGCATGCTGGCATGCTGGCATGAGTTGCGGTGTGCCATGCTGCCTTCCAATGCCAGAACATGCCAGAGGCCTGTGGTGCTGCTGAAAAGAAAAAGAAAAAGAAAAAGAAAAAAAAAAACACCAAACTAAGTCAGTGTACGAAGAAGAGGAATGTGGAGGAGACTCCCTCTCCTGGGCCCGTGGTCGGCCCTTGGGCTGCCAGCTCAGTGTGTTCCCTTATTTGCTGAGCTGGTCTAAGTACTGGACGGGAGGCCACACGGGCTGAGTCATAGCTTAAGGACTTCTGAGGCCCAGCCTGTGGCGGTTTTCGAGGGCCAGCTCTGCAGGCAGAGAGGAGGGACTTCCCAGGTTTGCTGGACTGGACCACATTGGCCCCAGGACCCTCAGTAGACCCGAGTGCAAGGATGCTCAAGTCTCTCCCGTTGGAATGTACAGTATTGGCATGGAACCGTCCACAGTCTCTCGGGTGCTTCAGGTTGCCTCTAAGTGGTTTCTTCTCCTAGTGGGTTATGAACTCTGTGCTGGCTGGTTTTACGTCAACTTAACACAAGCTAGAGTCATCTGAAAGGAGGGAGCCTTGATTGAGAAAGGCTGTAAGGCATTTTCTTAGTTAGTGATTGATGGGGAGGTACCACTGTGAGTGGGGCCACCCATGGACTGGTGGTCCTGGGCTCTGTAAGAAAGCAGGCTGAAAATGAATGGAAACACATGAACTATGAACCAAAGGCTGAGGGGCCCCCAGCTGGATCAGGCCCTCTGAATAGGTGAGACAGTTGATTGGCTTGATCAGTTTGGGAGGCATCCAGGCAGTGGGACCAAGTCCTGTGCTCATT